CCCCAAAACCCCAAAACCCCAAAACCCCATAAATGAAGATCTAGACTTATTTTAAAGAGTTAATTGAATATTATTAGGATCAGAAGTTGTAATTACTCTTCATTGAGCAATTTTTTTCCTTTTACAACTACCTTACCTTCACATAAATGAAATGAATAGAGTCAATTTAATCTTTAAACTATTGCTCCATTCATTTGTTTCAAACATGATTATTGAAATCATCATTCTGTTTAGCCTCCAACGTTTTTGCAATTCACTATAATATACTTATCGCCATCCATTGGTACTCTGCAGTATGGGCACTTGAAGTCAGTACTCTATCCTGAAAGATACCTATCTCTAAGCTAGTAATAGCATTCATTGCAAGTGGATAAATGGTTGCAGGGGACCGCAATTACGTTAGATGCATTAGTCAGGCAAACAGAACACACTACACCAGATTTACTTGCTTGGTCATCTGAAAATAGTTGCAGGGTTTTACTCTTGATAAGCTTCTAAGCTTACTCTTTCTTAATCTCAGTTTGAGCTTTCATTCTACTTTAAGTTATTTTCGATAAAACGTATAGACCCAGGATAGTTAGACAGAATCCACTGGCGACAGCACTCCACAATCTGACATTATAATAATAGTTTATCTCTTTTTTCAAGTAGCTAACTGCATCTTTCATTCCACCAGCAACGAATGAGGCAACATCTGTAAGTTAAAGCTCATTTCTTGAAGCATTATAAGCAACTGTTCCCATTAAAGTAAGATTTGTTCCTTCACAAGCCATATACTGGATACGCTCAAAGTAGTCAATTCTGGGTGATCTTAATCTAATTTAAGTATGAGTTGATCTGCTTTAAGTCAGATTGATACAATCAGCAGAGTCACCAGGCTTTACTGCTGCTCTGTGTTTACCATCGTCTGAGACAAGCTGAAATTCTTGTACTTTTGGGGATCTGAATTTTATTAATCGGTTTCTATCTCTTTACATTGAGACCTGCTCTATTGTATAATATAGAGTCTTGCTTTTGTTTAACTTCTTAAGTAAATGATTCTTTGGATCTTAAGTCAGATAGTGAAGAGTCTTCTCCTACACCAATAATCCATTTACCATTACGAACTCAGGTTGCTTGAATTTATCTTTATTCTCATTTAAGTATTAGGCATCGTATATCTGCCCTTATTTCTTGACAGATTCTTTCTAATTCCTCAGCTTTATAAGCCTAAAATGAGAGGAAACGGCTAGACAACCAGATAAAACTCCTAATGATAATAAGATGCTCAACGCTTTAATTTCCTCCTCCATACTCATACTTGTCTTTTTTTATTAGGGAACTTAAGATATTTAATTAAATTCAGTAAATCCTCATTTGATTCACTCTCTTGGGGTTTTGGGGTTTTGGGGTTTTGGGGTTTTGGGG